GGGGCCCCGCCGGCAGCTCCCCCGGCCCCAGCGCCAGCGGGGGAAGGGAAACGGCAGGCCCCCTAGCCCGCCCCCCGCCGGGAGGTTAGCCCTGGAGCCTGGCCGAATTCACCGCCCAACGCTCGCTCCCCGACGTCCTGTTTCATCTACACGGTCTCAACATGGCCGTTACTTTCCTGCTTCTCTGAAACGCACAAAAAATCCCAACCCCAAAACAAAATTTAAAAACCCTTTAAAATAAATAACGCAGCATGAAGAAGAAACCATGACTTCTGACCGCTTTTCTCAGTACTATTTTGTCCTCTTCAAAGTGATTGGGCTGTCCCGGACTATCCTTGTGCTCTGTGACAGGCATCTGCCCACAGCCCTGAAGTTTGCATTTATGGAGCAGGCTTTAACACCAACATCATTCTTCTCCCACGGGGATCCAGGAAGGGTTTGTGACAAATTTAGAGTGACTCTTCTCCTCTTAGGTTAAGAACAGGAGCTCGTGCGATGACAGAACCATCCTTGGGTCTATTTGGTCTGATATGCTGTCTCCAGAACTGTTCGCTAACAGACATTTCACAGCAAGATGCAAGCAAATTCGGAGATCAGCATGGATTTTTTTCTTTCCCGAGAGAGTATTCCCTCACAGGCATTGAAAGTGAAGAAGGGTTAGCGAAATCCTTGAGAGTGTCAGGGCTGCTAATAGTTGTTATGTTCTAAAAATCAATTTTGTTTAATAGGAAAGGTTTACTTCAGCCTCAGTGGAATGAAATGGGAACTTTGCAATTTCCGTACACACAAGCCAGATCAAGCTGTGTTTTCTGTGCTCTTCTCTGCTGTGGCTCTGATAATATGGTCTCAGAAAGTGACCTCTAAATAGCATCAGCAGCAAAAGGAGAAAATACCATTCTGTCTGTGAGTGTGAGCTTAAAATTTCACTTGGTATAGTTCATGTCAGACAGTCTCTTCTAGGAAAAAAGTGCATCACTTGTTCAGCTTGGAAGTTTGGATTCCATCAGCCTCGTCAGCCCCGTTGAACATCTGTAATAATATTTTTTATACATTATATAATTTTTGTTTGTTAGATTATTTTTATAGTTAGGCTCATCAGCAACAGATACTGAAAATGTATACACAGGATCTGAAATTCACCCACCTTCAGTGGTGGTTTTACTCAGTTCCACCCACAACGACCAACAGCAGCTTACAATATTGATTAGCCACAGCAGTTCTTGGTTTATGCCAGGCCATGTGCACATTCAGAAAGTAGTGTGCCTTCGTCTTCTTCCCCACCTTCTGCTACACTTCCTTTTCCCTAAAGCTTGAAACCCAGCTCCCCTGCTGCTTCATATGGACTAATCCTCACTCCACACACGGAATCCCTGCTTGCATCCAAGAGGTTTGAGGACTGATGGTGATGGGTGTCATCAGATGCCTTGCCCAGCAGTGCACTTTTCTCTCTGTGCTCAGTCTGCTTGCAACCAGTCTGATTGAAACTGACCTCCAGTGCCTGGAGAGGTCAAAAAAGTTGACTCCAAACTGACTCTATGTACCATGGCTGCCTCATCCAGACAAGTGAAAACTTTCAGGTTTTTTTTACACCTGTCTGGTTTTAAATACCTTCAGCAGTACCAGCATGTGCTCGATGACGCTCCCAGCACCCTTGAGGAACCTATCTAATATTGTAACTACAAGCTCTAAAGCATCAAGACTCCAAAACTTTTATTCAGTTATTAAAATGTAAAACTGTCAGTTTACACTCGAGTAAAATATGGAGAAAACCACTTCTCTAAAGCACACATGAATGGTCTGTGTCCATGTTCCTGAAAATTCATGCTGTTCCCATGCCTGTCTTTCTACTACTAGGAAAACACACTGCTGGGTCAGAGGATCCTGAGAGGTAACCCAGTGCATCCCCTGTCACAAAGCAGGATTTGTGATATCACTCGTGTACCTGACCCGTACCATTTAACCTGTTCTTGACGACTTCTGCTGTTGGCAGCTCCACCCCCCTTGATCTGATTCACCGTCTTCACCTTTTGCACATGCTATTCTGAGCTCTGAGGTTACCTGTGTAGGGTCCCCGTGTCACAGGAGTTGCTTAAAAGCTGATGCGGGGCAAGTTCCCAACTTGTTCTGTGCTCTCCCAAATCAGTCTTGGCCTCTATTTTAGAAATAGCCTTACAGCTGTGACTACAGTGAGGAAGATCCCTCTCATAGCTGTTCTGACCAGGATACCTTCCTAATATACTCTTATTCTCTAGCTCTCTGGTGTACTCAAAAGTAAGAGGCAGATGCACGTAGTATTTAGGTATATAGCATATATAAAACATAATTGAGCCAGGTGGTACGTTTCATTTGCAATGACAAAGTTTATTATAACAAAAAATGAGTTTACTGCATAGAGAATTTAAGCATTCATATCTAGTACTTCACCAATTCCTTTCATTACCTTTCTTTAATGTATCATCAACAGCACTTCATAATTCTAACAAGCTATCTAAATTGTGCCTTGAAATTATTTCCGCTTTCTTGTACAATCTAATGATATTTAGATAATGAATAGAGTTTGTATCAAATAGTATGGTTTATTTCATATGAATTAAAGGAATGGTTCAGCTCTGCGAACCCAGAAACATGTTCAGTAAATCCTATTTCATGGCATCTGGTGATGACAGTAAAATTTCTTTCATGAAGACTACTGAAGGAGCAAAAATGTGAATAATACAAATAATCGCACATTTAAGCATTTCAGATTTCAGAGGGATAATTAGTTCCTACGGCAAAAAGTTCTTGAAAGGCTGCATTTCTTGCTGAAGAAAGTAGATAGAAACTTGAGACATTCACATTTGTTAAAACACATTGCCATACAAAGTTCTTTTTTTCATTAAGAGTATTTCATGTTGTGTGTAGGAGCCCAGAAATACCTTCTGACTTAATTCTGTCCTAGTTATCAGTGAGGACAGAGAAACACTGGAAGAGATTCCCAGGGGACGCTGTAGCATTTCCATTACTGGATGTCTTTAGGACCAAGTTACACAAATCTCTGGATTTTTATCTCAAGGTGGAAGGATGGATGATGTAACTTTTTCAGGTTCCTTCAAACTATGTTTTTAACATATAATTTTAATGTAAATCTGTTCAATTTACGGTAAGTAGAGCTTTCTGATTCCTATATACTAACTTTTAACAGAATAGGCATGGCTGATGCCTCATTCTCTCATTTGCTTAACACTTTTAACTCTGATTTAGTCCTATGCAATGTGTTTAATAGTTTAATAATATTCAAATTTTGTTGTAAAAAGAAACATCAGTTAAAATAATTATTCTTTGAGAAATTTTTAAGTACTACTGATACTTAAGTCTGTTTTCATGCAGACATTGATATCCTTCAGTATTTTCACTGATAACTCAAGCAAAGACACCAAACATCCCTATTGTTTGCTTAATGTTAATGTGCACAGAACACTAATATTTTGTAGAAGTACTCTTATAGCCAAAATTTTAATGTCTTCTATGCTTTTATTTGTCATCATCCATACATACTTTTGTTAAAATGTCCTCCTCTTTGAAATATAATCTACTTGCTATTGTAGTAGAAGTATATTCCTGTATTACAATTTTAGCATTACTGGCATTGCAACTAGCAGCATTTTGTATTTCAGCTTTATAGTGCAACAGCTTTTCTACGGGCAGCAGGAATAAAGATGATGCAGTAAGCTGCATTTTTGTATACTTATCCACTGTATATGACTCAAGGTTCGGGTTGGTTGTGCTTAAATTTCTCTTGATGCTCAGAGACGCAAAAAGCAGAATCCGTATTCAGATTCACCTCGCCTTTCGTTTTTGTGACTAATGTGCTATGATAACTTAGTGTTTGCAATCGCCTTGCAGAGCAACCACAGGCTCAATAATGTGGAGGCAGTCGCAGTAAGCTCACATGAATCTCTCGGCAGTTTCTTCGTGTTTGTTGTAGGAAGAAAACATCTTTTTCTCTAAAAGAAATGCTACAGCAATTCCTTAGAAAGCATTGGAATGAAATCCCAATGAATCCATATTCTCTGTTTTACATTCTTTTGTACAGTAATGTATTTATCTAGTACAGAGGTCCCCAGATGAAGTTGAAGTGTAACAGCAAGGATGTTTAATTAGGGGCACACACTGTTGTGGTTATTGCATTGCAAGCTTTTCTGATCCAGGCACATTTTTACCTAGTATTAAAATATAAACTATATTAGCATTTCAAGGAGAGTGATCATGCAGATAGAGGCCAACATAACAGAAGACATTGTCAGTTGTCATGATCTCCTCCTTAATTTTGTGACATAGGATATTGCAAATGTCCCATAGACGGTTATAAATAGGCAATTTTTTCTGCTAATTCAAAATGGCTGTCAGCTAGTGTGCCTTTCAGGAAGGCTAAAACCTCACTGTTTTAAATCAAAATGGCTATCACATTCCTAGAGGCTGTATGTGTGAGATTTGAT